TATGTTACTAATAAATAAAGCCAGAAAAGTCTTTGCTGCCTGGCATCTGAGAGCTGGTCTGGAGTTATGCCTCCCTACCATTCTAAGGGCCCCTAAACACACCACATTTCATATGTGAGACCTCTTGTTTGCTATTACAGATTTAGTACTGTCTAAAAAGAATTTTTTGGGTGCCATTCAACCAGAATTCAATGTACTATAGTTATTTGGTGCATTATGAACTCTCTGAAGGCAGAAACTATCATTTCACCTTTATATCTCCAGCACTCAGCCTAGAGTCTTAAATATCATGGGTGCTTAATAAATATTTGATAAATTGAACTGAATTGAATATGTCATCTCCCCAACCAAAGGATGAGCTCTAGGAGGTCTCGAATGATGTTTTATGCTTCCTTGTATCATTTCCCATGTATACTCAAAACATACTAAATCAATTTTTTATTGTGAGGATTTTTTATGCAGCCAGTTTATAAATGTAGAAAGTTCTGCTGAGTGTAAAGATGTGATTTGAGGATGGTGACCTAGACTGTGAGGGGTCTCTCTCTAGTCTATGCCATAAGAGAACTGGTTAAAGAAATTGAAACTATTTAGCTTGAAGAAGAGAAGATGGTGGGGGGATGGTTGTCACTAAGTATGTGAAAAGCTGTTCTGAGGGAGAGGGATTGGATTGTTCTGCCTGGCCCCACAGAAGCAATGGGAAGATGATGATGTCCAGAAGAAAAAAAGTTAGGCTCCATGTAGGGAAACATTTGTTAACAATACAAGCCACACAAAAATGGAATGAACTTTTTCAGGAAGTAAAGAGTTTCTCCTCTTTGAAGAACTTTTAAGAAGAGGCTGAATGATGACCGCTTGAGTCTTATACCTGGATTCTTGTTTAGGTTATGCTAGCTGGCCTCTGAAGTTGTTTCTGACTCTGAGGGAGAAAGCCTTTAGGGTTAGCCAGATCAACTTCAAATGACTGAATTACAAGTAAATCAATTAAGTCAAATATTCTGTGCCTACAAAGCACAAAGTGAAGATCAACTTTGGCAATGTCCTCATTAATCTAGTCACCCCAGCTAGGATCCAAAGAGAAAGGAATATTTGGACAGAATTGCCTAGCTTGGGTAGTTACATTGATCAAAATGACTGGAGAAATACTGAAACTCTATTCAAATTTGAGCTGTGAAGACACAATTATAGACTGAAAAGTCAAGTCAACAGATGTTTATTAAATACCTACTAAGTCCCAGGCACTGTGTTAAGCACTGAGAATACAGAGAAAGTCAGAAATCAGCCCCTGATATCAAAGAGCTCACATCTAATGATGGAGACAATGGACAATGTATAAGCAAGATGTATACCAGATTAAATGGAGATGAGCTCAGAAAGAAGGTGCTAGTATTAAGAATGACTGGGAAAAGTTTCTTGGGACTTTAATTGAGACTTGAAGGAAGCTGGGGAAGTCAAGAAGGTGGGGATAAAGAGGGAGATAGTTCTAGGTATAAGGACATGCAATGAAAATGCTCAGTCAGGAGATGGAATGTCATGTGTGAGGAAAAGTAAGGAGGTGGGTATATGTGGATAGCAGTAAAGTGAAAGAATCCTGGGAAGAGGTCTGGTTGTGAAGGGTTTTAAAAGCCCAACAGAGGATTCTACATTTGGTCCTGAAGATAATAGAGATTTACCTGAGTTTATTAAGTTGAATTGCATTTATTTAATTCATAGGGTTAGACCTGTGCTTTAGGAAGATCAATTTGACAGTTGAGTAGAGGATATACTTGAGTGGGGAAAGACTTGAGGTAGGGAAATCAACCATCAAATTATTATAATAGTCCAGGAATGAAATGATGAGGGCTCTCACCAGGATGATGGTAATATCATAGGAAAGGAGTGGGTATATATGACAGAAACAACAAGACTTGGCAACTGAGAGGGTGGTGAGAGTAAGGAATTGAGGATGACCCAAAGGTTGTGAGCTTAGATGGTTAAGAACTTGGTGGTACCCTTGACAGTAACAGGGAAGTTAGGAAGAGGGAAGGGTTTGGGGAGAAAGATAATTAATTTGGTTTTGAAAATGTTTCGTTTAAGATGTCTATGAGACATATAGTTTGAGATGTCCAATAGGCAATTAGAGATGTGAGACTAAAGATAAGGAGAGGGGTTAGGGCTGGAAAAATAGATCTGAGGATCATCTGAGTGGAGATGATAATTGAATCTATGGGACTTGATTAAAAAATGGCAATAAACCAAAAAACCAACAATATTCTTATAAATTATAGATTAAAAGCTGAAAGGACAAGCAAGTCTAACTCCCTTATTTTATAGTTATCAAAAATGAGGCTGAGAGTGGTTAAATGACTTGCTCAGGATCACAAAGTAGCTGAGGAAGGATTTGATCTCCCATCTTTCTGACTCCAAGTTCTGACTCTAGCACTCTGCTTGCTGTCCAATGGAGGAAGGGCATTAACTGCTGGGAAAATCAGGAAAAGCTTCGTGTAGAAGGTGGCACCTGATTCGAATCTTTAGAGAACTAAAGGATTCTATGAGATAGGAGGTGAGGGAAGAGAGAGCATTCCAGACATGGGGGATGGTCAGAGCAAAGACACAGAAACAAAAGATGGAGTGCCATGTGTGAGAAACAGCAAGAAGACAAGTCTGGGTAGATCACAGAGTGAATAGAGTAGAGGAAGGGGAGATCATCTCTCTAAGCCATTGCTTCCTCATCTGTAAAATGAGTGTATTGGTCTAGACCAGGAGTTCAAGGCAAGCCAGAAAATATCTTCACATTTCTTGTGTCATAGACTCCAGGGGCCGCTAGGGGGTGCAGTGGATAGAGCACTAGGTCTGGTGTCTGGAAGACTCATTTTCCTGAGTTCAAATCTGGTCTTAACAGCTGGAGAAGGAAATGGCAAACTACTTCAGATTCTTTGCAAGAAAAGCCCAAATGGGGTCACAAAGAGTTGGACACAACTGAACAAGTCATAGACCCCTTTGGCAATTTGATGAAATCTATGGACCCCCTATCAGAATAATATTTTAAAATGCATAAAATAAAATTACAAAGGATGCAAATTACACTGAAATACGGTTACCAAAATATTTTTTTTAATTGTGATATAGTAATATATGTGCTTCTTTATTAACATATTAAAGAACAAGACAATTTGTTCAGTCATTTCAGTTGTGTCTGACTCTTCATGACCCCATTAGGAGTTTTCTTGGCAAAGATACTGGAGTAGTTTGCCATTTCCTTCTCCAGATCATTTTACAGTTGAGGAAACTGAGGTAAACAGAATTAAGTGGCTTGCCCAGGGTTGGGCAAGCTACAGACAGCTAGTGAGTATCTGAGGCCAGATTTGAACTCAGGAAGATGAGTCTTCCTGATTCCAGGCCCAGATAGTCTATCCTCTATGCCATCTAGTTGCCCCAACAAGATAATACATTCAAGATACAAGCAAGTTAGAGTTAAATTTTATTTTAAAAATATTTGATACTATATTTATTGAAATGAAGTTAGGAAAATATTTTGGAATTTTTGTGTATATAATGTACTTCCTTATTAATACATAAATAACAAGACAACACATTTAAAATATAAGCAAATTAGAATTAAATTTATTTTTAAAGACATATCATTGGAAGATTGTTGCTGCTTATCTTGAATAAGAACATTAAACTGGGATGGTCTTTAGACAAGGAAACAGGACTGTTATGTTGAATTGATTTTCAAATGTAATGTAATATGAAAATATCTGCAATTTCTATTAATTAGAGTCATAGGCACTGCTAATACTACTCTAGTTTATTACCTACAGTCATAATTGAAGGAAATACTAAATCCCAGTTAGAAGTTAGTAAAAATAAAGATGTATTATCTTCCTATGCAAGTTCACAGACCCCAGGTTGGAAACCCTTGGGCTAGACATACTTAAATTAGCTTCTCACTCTGTATCTGTGATCCTAGAAAAAAAGGATATACTATTGTAACTGAATTCTACTAAAGCTTTTTTAGGTTAAATCATTTTTTATAAGTAACCATTAAAATTCACTCAGCCTACAGAGAAACACTTATTCTGTGATATAGGTGGAGTTAACTGTATTATTGATCATTATTGCAGCTACGGTTTAGACAAAGTTAATTAACGAGGCCCTGGGGAAATATATTTTATTATGTTCAATGAAGCAAATGATCTCTCATTTCATTTGAATTGCTTTCTTTAGATGTTACTTCACACATGCAGTTACTTCACACATGCAGTTACTTCACACCTGCAGTTAGTTGGTTTCTCCTGGAAGCTGTAACAAATTTAATTTAGCAGGGGAAGGGAAGGGAGTAAGCATTTATATAATGCCTACTTTGTGCTAGGCACTTTACAAATATAATCTCATTCGATTCTCACAACCCTGGGAGGTAGGTGCTATTCTGATTCCCATTTTACAGTTGTGGAAACTGAGACAAAGAGAGGTTAAGTGACTTGCCTAGGGTCATGCAGCTAACACGTGTCTGATGCTGGGCCACTCCCCTTCCCCAATTTGCACTTGTACGCTTCCCAGAGGGCAGACTGCTCCCTTTGAGTTTTAAAGGTAATCCTGTGATGGTATATTTTTAACACTAGCACCTGAGCCCTCCTTTGGTATGCTTTCCATCAATAATCACTCAGCAGACTTAGATTTATCAAAAGCATTTACAAAGATAGTATAGTAACAACAGTTGGCAGAAAACATTCCTCTCAAAAGTCTAGGCCATATTCTCTCACAAACACAAGCAGCATCCATGGGAAGAATGGGCTTAAATAGAATACAATGGTAGAGAGTCATGAATTTGGATACACATATGGCAACACAAAACTCAACTCCTGGCAGTAGAAAGCCTTTCTCCCTTTGTAGAATTGTCATGCAACTTCTTTAGAGGCGACCGCACTGACTGCTCAGTTGAGCATAGGAGATACCTATCTTCCCTTTCCCATCTTCACCACCCTCCTCAGTAGTTATCTTTCTGGATCCAGCAGTGTTACCTTTCCTCCTCCTTTGTGTCTCTCCACTCCCAAAAAGGATGCATGGTCTTCTCTTGGTCCAGTTTCTCTTGTAATGTGGTCCATGGGGCACAGGGAAAGAGTGTAAGAAGCCTTTGGGGCTCACTCCCCCCCCCCCCCCCCCCATGATGCCCTGAGGGGAAAAAAAGCTGTCTACTTCCTCAAAGTACTCCCAAGACGGAAACTCTCACTGCTAGGCTGGTCAAATGCAGACATTCCTCTATTTAAAGCCCCCGAGGCATAGTTAGCCTGTTTGGTTAGATAACCACACTTTCCTTGACCCGTTTAAAAAGATCAGTCCTTCCTAAAGGAATCCTAAAGATGTAAATGCATCTTGTTTACACTTTGAAACTTAATCATATATAAACTATATTGTCATGGGATTATAGGCAAATTCCTTAACATTTATTGTACACTTTGTGATTTTATTAATATGAAGTGGGAGACAAAACTCCTTTACACTCTTTCCCCAGCTGAACATTTGCTCTCTCTAGCAAATGAGCAGGAGCACTTTGGGCAAAATGCAAAGCCCCAAATTTTATCGTTTTCATTTCCAATATCTTTCCCAGTACATTGCACTAAAGCATCTTAGAAAATCCCATGTGGCATAGCTCACAAATGGTCTAAAATTTAACACTCTTTTTTTTTTGGCAGTTGGGGTTAAGTGACTTGCCCAGGGTCACACTGCTAGTAAGCGGCAAATGTTTGGTCTGAGGCTCGATTTGAACTCAGGTCCTCCTGACTTCAGGGCCAGTGCTCTATCCGCTGTGCCATCTAGCTGCCCCTAAAATTTAATATTCTTCAACACTTCCAAGTATAACTTAACCAGGAGTGTTCTGGCAAATGTTTAACAACTGGCACCCTGGGATGGGTGGTGTGGTGTGGTAGGAAAGTACCCACCACACACTTTTAAGTTTAACCTGCATTATTAACATTTTCTCCATTACTTTTTAAGGTCTAGACAATCGGCAAAACAATAAATCAAACTGATTTGTAGCATTTGCTGATTTCTGAGACATGTGTTTAATAAACAGCTCTTGTTAGGGGAGGGCAAGGGTTGAGCAGACTCCAGCATACCCTTCTAGGCACTAAACAAATACATACCATTTTACAAAGTTTTCATAGATGACTGCTTGCCTTGGTGTTTGCAAAGGCCTTCTCCAACACAAAGATAATAGACAAAAGAGAAAAAGAAAAGAAAATCAGCCCTTTCATCTTCAAAAGAAAGCTTGGTCCCTACAGAGATCCTAGAATTAGTGGGGTTTCCCCAGAAGGATTAAGGTCCTGGGATTAACTGGAAGTCAACAGCCCCCACTTCAGGTGAGAAACCAAACGTCTTGGTGCTTGTATAATAACACTGGCCCTCTGGCACTGAGGGGAGAAGAAGGTGGCAAGTGAGGGACTTAACCTTTCCTCTCTCCCACTGAAGAGCCTCTGCTCATTTGAGTACCAAGTACCATAACAAACTAGCCTTGGTCCCAGGAAGGCTGGGATCTTTGCCCTTTTTCTTGTCCTGCTAAAAGTACCCTTCCACTCTGGATTCATGGGTATAAAGTAGTTTTAATCCTGGAAAATTCTTCTGGGTCATTGAAGCACAGAGGGAATCCAAAATTTCTCTATGGATCCCTAAAATATATAGGAAATCCAGTTGAAGATGGAGGCAAAACGTCTCCAGATGTCCTACATGCCTGGCACACTAAAATGTCTCCAGAATATGAGAAATACACAGCAGAGTTGCAAAGTCCTAGTTGAGTTGGGGGAAAAGATAAAGCCTTGGGAGTTGCCTGAGGTACATAGAAGTTAAAGACCTTGTCCATCTAGTAAATGTCCCTGGCAAAATTTAAATCAATCTCTCCTTGACTCTAAATTTAGTGCTTGACTCCCAATACCATGGATTATTATTATGATGATTTTTTAAAATTCTATATCTGTTATTTCATTGGTGTGAAGATTTCTTTTATCAGTGCAAATCATCAATTCCTTTATAATTTACACCATGGTACACTGAAAAGTTAATGCCTAGTTACCCAACCAGTAGTCATACCTTGGTCTATTGCACTTCGATTTATTGTACTTTGCAGATATTGAGTCTTTCTCAGATTGAAGGTTTCTGTCAACTTTGTGTCAAGCAAATCTATCAGCACCATTTTTCCAACAGCATGTGCTCACATCAAGTCTCTGATAATTGGTAATTCAATTGGTAATTTTGGAAACTTGATATTTCAAACTTTTTCATTATTATTATGTCTGTCGTGGTGATTTGTGATCAGTGATCTTTGGGCTATTACTATTATAATTGTTTTGGAGCACCACGAACCATACCCATATAAGACAGTGAACCTAACTGATACATGTTGTGTGTGTTCTGACTGCTCTACTGCTGAGCCTTTCCCCATCTCTCTCCCTCTGCTACTGCCTCCCTATTCCCTGAGGCACAGCAATACTGAAATCGGGCCAATTAACAACCCTGAAGCTTCTAAGTGTTCAAGTGCAAGGAAGAGTCAATTGATGGGTAAATTTCATTATTGTCTTATTTTAAGAAATTGTCATAGACATCCCAACCCTCAGCAACTACCACCTTGATCAGTCAGCAGCCAGCAGCATCGAGGCAAGACCCTCCACCAGCAAAAAGATTACTACTCACTGAAGGCTCAGATGATGGTTAGCATTTTTAGCAATAAAATATTTTTAATGAAGGTATGTATATTTTTTTATACATAATACTGTTGCACACTTAATAGACTATAGTAGAGTATAAACATAAATTTTATATGCACTGGGAAACAAAAAAAAAATTGTGTGGTCTGGGACTGAACTCACAAAATCTCCAAGGTATGCCTGTATGTGTCAGGGATAGGCCTTGAACCCTGGTATTCCTGATTCTAACTCTGCCCATTTATCCACCATGCCACATGGTTTTTGGATTTAATCTAAGCATAACACTCACTTCTTTGGTTGGTGGAGAAAGGCTTTCTTTAAACAAAAGTTAGGCTGTAGGGCCATTCATTGAATGCTATATGATTTTGGTCTTTTTAAAACTGAAGCTGGCTTCCAGGGTGCTCTAAGAAATAAGAAATAGATGCAGAGGGGTTGGGGTAGGCATCATAATTTCATCCCTCCTTCATTTCTCTCTGATTCTGGATGGTTAAATGCTTACAGGACTTCCCTGCATTCGAAACATTCTTTAGAAAAAAAAAGTTATTAGTAAAGAGCCGAACTGTACCAGTGAGGTCCAAGCAAGCACTGGTTTAAAAAGTGCCTCTCATTAGGTTTGAAGGGACAGGGGAACAAAGAGGGTCTGTGGATTTCTGGATCCCAGTTCTTTGGCACAGGGGGGAAAGCCAAATTTGGATGGGGATGAGTGATGTCTTTCTTTAACTGGATGTTGGGAGGCAGTTTTGGCCTAAATGTTTAGGAAGTACTTGAACTATGCTTATTAAACTCTGTATTTTCATTATTTCAGCTCAAAGAGGTCAGGAGCCTCTTGTGAAAAGAGGGGAAGGTTAAAACAACAGCTGTTTCTCTCCTTTCTTCTCTATTTCTGTTTCCATTTCCCCCCCTCCCCTTGAGCTCTTGTCTACTGCTGCAGAGAGGCAGCCTGGGCAAAGCAGAAAAACTGCCAGATTTGGAGTTAGAAGACATGTTCTTAATGTGATGTCATTTTGGTCCTCATAGTATGAAGGACAACAACTCTGGACTACACGAGTCTGCCTAAGTTAGTCAATATTGTATTTATGTGCATTTTATTTCATTGATGTTTGTGTTTAAACTTAAGTGGTTTAAATAAACAAAACTCTAAATCACTTGGTCACCATATTTTCCCTTTCCAGACTCTTTCCATACACTATTGCAGATCTCAATTACTCCTCAGCTTTCCCCTCAATATCCACTAAAGTAATGTCAAATAGGTCTGCCATCTTCTCTCACTTAAGCTTCTTACAGAATTTTAAAGCTCATCAGTGCTTAAGAAATGGTTCACCATATCTCACAAGATCTTTGAAATTTTCTGACCTCTAATGCTTTCTATAAGGTACATGCTAACCTTTTTCATTCTTGCTACTCTGGAATACTTTGGGCCTCTGGGGAAAAAATAATATTTAAAGAAGACTTATCCTTGGAAGGGGAGCCCTTTCACAGAATAGATGTCCCTGTTTCTACAAACTGCTTCTGTTTTGAAAGTTGTATTACTTTCACTGAGAGAGAGAGAGGAGAAAGAGAGAGACAGACAGACAGAGACAGAAATAGACAGACAGAGAGAGATATTTAATTTTAGAAAATAGTCAAACATGAGGGTGGAGGATCTAAGAGAGATGCAGAGGCAGCCTGGCCTAGCAGATAGATAGAATGCTAGACCAGAAGTCAGGTAGAACTTGGTTCAAATCCCACCACAAACAAGCCCCATAATTTCTCTCAGTTTGTATAATAATGATGATGATGATGATGATGATATCTGAGTCTATTTGATAACAATTATTAATATAATCATTAGTTATTATTATGTAATAGACTTAGAAGTTATGACAGTTATTATTATTGCTATTATAGTACTTAAGCTATGAGGCTGTTTTGAAAATCAAATGAGATGTGACCAAAACATGCTATATAAATGTCACAATGATGGTGATGATAAATGGAGTCATGACATCAGGGAGATGTGGAAGTAGCTGACATGAGTGGCCTTTTTTTGCTGAGCTTTTTCAGCCATGTCTGACTCTTTGTGACCCCTTTTGGGTTTTTCCTGGCAAAGCTTCATAAGGACATCCTGGAGAACAGTCATGCTTTTTATGCTCAGTCCCTACCCCCATCCCCATTTTTACTCCTCTGCCGAGAAAATGCCTGATGTGCATTCCTAGAGGAGGCTTCTTCCTGATTTTGGACCTTGCTCATTGTTTTCTGCAAGAACTATTTCTAACAGGGCAGCTGGGGAATCGACTTTTGTGAGCAATGTCTTGTACAGGAAATAACTAAAAATGTCCAGGAAATAATTTTTGTCATTGCACTGGTCTTTGAATCATGGAAGAATATGAACTTCTTTTCCTTTAGATACTCTGTGAAGGTTATTTGGTTTCTGTCATAAAAAAAAATTGCCTCCTAGCAACTAAAATTAAG